TTTAAATTACCTACATTTTTAACAATCCTTTACGTTATATACAAATGTTAGTGTCTTCATCTCCATAAATCAAACATTACAACAATATAACTTTGGATACAAAAAATATTAATTGTATTACACTTAAACAGATTTATGTCTGGTTTTCAATTGCGTTCGTCCGTTAACCGGCATACCATACAATATTGTGGTGTGTACGAGCTATATGCCGTTGGACTGGCGGTGCTTAGATCTGCAAAACACTTGTTGCTCAGACGCCACGCCCGATCAGCGCTAGGAATGCGCGGGAGTTGTGATTAGTGCTTTGAAGTTGTGTGGTGATACGTAATATGGGTGAGTTTTTTTTTATATTACAATTGTTCGGTAACAAAATATTATACGGTTTCAAAAAATCTGCGATATTCAGCTATTTGATGTGATTTTTTGTAACAAATTGTGGTACAACAGTTATTTTTTTAATTCTTAAATTCACTATGCAAAATTTACTTTATTGCTTTCAATTCAGTTATATTAAATTAAAATTCGTCAAACGCACCAGTCGGGTTTTATCTTTATAGTATATTTATAGTATACATCTCGAAAGAGCAATATTTTTAATTACCCTAAGTTCGACCATCAAAAGTTTTTGTTTAAATACGGTATTGGTCTGGTAATTCGGAAACGGTTCGCACACACAACACCACGAAGCGGTCTCTATTAAATTGTATTTAAACTTGCTGGTTTCCTACACAGTATGTTTTGGAGTCCTTAATATATATTTATAGATTCTTTAACAATTTATAACTAAAATTACACAATAACAATTACCACGTTAACGAAATACCCCCAATCCGGCTGGTCTCCGTGTATTAAGTGACCACCACCCTCCATTACATATCAAAAACGAAGAATAGGACTAAAAAATATATAAATTTATAAAAAATATAATATAAATAATATAATATTTAAAAAAAAAACCGCTCCACGTCACAAAAATTTAAACTAAGCACTTTCAACGTAAGGTCCCAATTATCCAAAAGAAGACAATTGGATCTGAACAATAAATTGAGAAAAATCAGAGAAGAAAAGAGATATGTTAAAATATAGAGGGTAAAACCCTGAATACTACCCCCTAAAACCCTAATAAATACCACTAATACTAACACAACTAATACTCATATTAAGAAATGTTAACTAATTAATTTATGGATTCATTAATAAAGCTCTAATAATAATAACTAAAATTACTAGCTATTAAGCTGGCTTTAAACTGAAGTTGTAAAAAGTTTTTTTATACATGTGTCTTTACTAAGACATCATGGAACATTACGATCTAGCCTAACTTAAGACTAATAAGTAATTTAAGTCTAACCTAATTTACTAATAAGGATATTTAACATAAGAAAGTGTCCAACGACGTAAAATGTGAAAAAAAAATCCTAAAAGCATTGCTACTCTGTGTAAAATGTCTATGCCTAGTTGATTTTAACATATTATACAAAAATTATTTAAAAAATTTATAACCGACTTCTTCCGTTTCCGACTAAAATCTCCTGCCTTTTGCTTTATCCTTTATTGTATTATAATGTATTATCTTCTTTCATAACCTATAATAATATGAAGATGTAATATGTTTATGTACATATTTTGTTTTTAACCAGCTTATCCCTTTATTTCCTTTTGATGTCTTTGTTTATTTTTTCTCGCGTGTAGTTTCCCAACCTTTTACTTGAAACTGTCAGTGAAGTCAAAACTATTGCCATAATATTAAAAGAAAAAAAAAATAACCGACTTCAATTTCAACATATGCCATCTATTGTCAAAAATCTAAATCATCAGTTTGACGCTGTCAAACGCTTTCAAAACAAATTTAAAAATACTCACGGCATTAGTGAAAAAGTTAAGAGTTTTCTAACAATTTATTTATAAATGTAACGCAGATATATGTCCGCCACGCGCATTAACGGGACTTCATACTTCCCTTTAAAATAATAAAATACGTGTTACTATTCAATTTTACACGACGTATTGAAAAATAGATATTCTTTATTATAATTACATGATCAGTTAGTTAAATTTATGTTAATTTGGAAGTGAATCAGTCAAGATTAATAGATTTGCATAGTTTATGTGTTTAAAGCATGTTTGAGGTTTAATTAAAGAAATTATATTAATGCATTGAGAATTTAAAATAAATTTTGAGAGATTAGATTTGGGATTTTAGTAAAGTAGTAAGTAAGTAAGTAAGTAAGTAATAGTAGTAAATAGTTTTTAATTTAACTTTGATTTTGATCTTTATTGTTAAGATTTCTTAATAGATTTACTAGAGTATGCGTTATACAATGATTAAAGATACAACTTTTGTCCATATTAATATTTTGTTTTTAAAACGAAATCGTGTATTAACAAAATAACCATTCTATTTGAATCAAATTATACGCTGTCGCAATACATATGAGAAAATATTTTAAAACTGTATAAAGTGGTGTATATTAATGGTGTGTAAGTTTCGCTGATTAATTTAATCAGTTGAACCTGACGCTTTGAACTTTGGCTGAGGAACTGATAGCTAAAATCCATGTTTCTATTTCGCTTAAGGTGTTTCGCCAAACCCCAAAATATACTTAAAATCGTTAAACAATTCTAGTGTGAAGTTTATTGGTCTCTCTCGAATCTATGACAAGCAAACAGGTACATAATAAAATGTTGTCTTGTTTTTTCTCACTTTTATGTAAAATTTATGATGCATCTACGTAACAAATTGCTATTATTAATATTTCTAAATAAAAAGTTAATATTATGTATTTTTATGGCTTCCGTTTGATATTGAGTATTTTCCTCATACTAAATCAAAACTAATCCTATTAACCAATATTTGATCTACTTTATTTATTAGTAATCTTATAGCTAACACATATTATAAAAGAAAACACGTAGAAAATATACAAAGGAAAACAGATTACATTGATAAACAAAATATTTGAAACAGAAAACATAAGTATATTAATAGACAAAAAGAAAAAGAAAACTGAAATCATTCTTGAAACAAACGACAACTTATACTTAATATTTAAAGAAAGAACTAAATTGTTACTGCTACACAAAGCCAAAGTCTTCCCGCCTCTTCAAATATTTCCTCACATCCTCTTTGGTGGTGGAAAATATCAACATCTTCATAATTAGTGTCATAGTTAGCTAAAACCCGAAACATTGGCGAATTACGCAGATAATACGTGTTCGTACGAGGCACATGGAACAATTACAAATATCTTGTTGCATACGGTGGATGGATTCTCAGAGAAATTAACGACAGAAAATAGGGGCTATCTATCCGCCCATTAAGAATAGCATGCAAAAATAATGTCTTGCTGACTCAGCTGATATTCTAATGAGTATAAATTAAAATATTTACAAGAATCCACATAGCTATCGAAACATTGATACTGTTTAAAACTAAGGAATTTCACAATTTTTTGTTGTATATTTTCTTAATATATATATAAATTACGTGTCACGTTGTTTGTCCGCTATGGACTCCTAAACTACCGAACCGATATCAATGAAATTTCAATGCAAATTTGCACACCGTGTGTAGTTTGAACCAACTTAAAAGAAAGGATAGCTTACATCTCAATCAAACCCGCAATATTGTTTTATTGCAAAATATTTGTTTATTATTTGATAGTCACAATACTAACAGATGGCGCTGTGTTGAAAGTACCAAGTTTTCACATAAGCTACAATTTAATGGCATAACCACCAAAAAGCTTGGTGGTCCCCATGACTGGTGTTCTCCTACCGTTTTCCTTGAATAGTTTGCTTCTATGTAATATAACAAAAACCTTAGCCACAGCAACGCTTGGCCGGTCTGCTAGTATTGTATATAATATGGAAACCAGATGAAACTTGCATACTCCAGCACGCTTCTGACATAAGCCAAATAAAGGCATTTTATACAATTTACGATTTTAAATGACTTGTCTATAGCAATTTGGCATATTTGCATTTCAAGTTTTCAAATAATACAGTTATGCATTTTATAGACATCATATGGAAAGTTTCGCCCAAATGTAACTCATTAATTGTGCAAAAGCGATCAATAAAGCGTTGAATATTTTAAATTCAGCACATTAATGGGAGTGTGTGTGTTATCAGTGATGCATAATTAAATCGATTTATAGCGCTTTTATTAGAAATTGCATATGCTGCTTTGGCTATAAATTATGTTAATTAATGTTATAATTATAACTTCTTTCGATAACATTCAAACAATACTTATGTAACTTTAAGTTTGGTATAATAATGCAATTAAAATCGATTTTGCTTATATATCGACGTAAGAAAGCATATTTGCTGTAAGTAGACTATTGCAATTGTTCACCAGAGCCAAAAAACTTTATTAATTTCGGAAAAAAAATTAATAGTGTCTGACCTATCCATGATATTGCTACCATTTTTGGAACATAGGTTTATTTAACTGCCAGTCACCATTTGCAATGTAAACTTTTTATCCAAAGTTACTATAAGTACGTGTTTGTCTAGTTACAGCAAACAGTTTTTTAAATCACATACCTTTAAAACGCTGTAACTAAGGAAGAGAAATGTACGCGTAGATGGAAATATTATCAATTTACAGGCGGTAAATATGCTGTATTCAGTAAATTTATTTATTTGGGTACTGCAATTCAAGATGTATATTTAAATTTATAATTATGATTAGATCTAGAAATGTAGTGGGTCAGTTGGTAATGTAACGTTTGGTTGAAATAAAACGCAAGATGTAAACAAAAACTAAATAAAAAAACCAAGATGTAAATAATTGTATCCAATCAAAAAATATTTATTTAAAAGTAAGACACAGAAACTTAGTAGCAATTTGCCTTATTTTAGAACGAAAGATGTAACAAAAAACAATTATAATTGAAACTTAACATGAAGACATTGTGTGCAATCAAAAACATATTATTTAAGGAAAAGAAATAAACAAAAGTTATGCTATCGCGAATTATCACTTTTTTTTTTCAGTCGTCTTCATCGGTTTCAGGTAAACAGTCATTTGTTTTACAGCTGTACTTAAAATTTAAATATTCTTTGGCGTACATATTTGGAATCACTTTTTTCTCCACTAATTTTTTTAAGTCATTATATTTTTGTTGGGATATTGGTAACTTAGTCGAATATAAATTTGTTTTCGGCATTGCACTATTGAGTCCGCTCAATTGAACTTCAATTGTTTCAGTTTGTGGCAACATTGAATTTTTCACATACATCACATTTGGTTTACACCTTTTAAATGTAACCACATGCATCTTTGAAATATTAATTCTTTGGTTTTTCTTAAAAGTATTATTTGTTATTTCTTCAAATCCCATAAAATTTGTTCCTTCAAGTTTGGTTACTTTGTAAGGAAAGGGGTTCTTCCTGGCTATTTCTACAATAGTAGGCCATTGAGATGGAGCCCATACTATTGTTTTCTTCACTGCTCGTTCTATCACAGAATGCATGCTATCTACAGGCATATATGTATGGCCAGGGATCAAGTAGTTCATCTGAATAACTTCAAGATTAACACACCTAGATAATGCAAAGCGAAACATAGATAAAACGGTCTTATTTTTGTTTTGTCCGTAGCAGGAATCGGAATACAATAATAAAGTCTTAATTTTAGTTTGAGAATCAACTTCCATTATATAATTTAGTAAACATGACGAAATCTCATTTGCTCCACGATGGGCATCATTTTCATTCCATATATTACAGAGCCCTACCTGCGTGTTACTTTCATAAATTGTGAAATTATACACAGATATTTTTCGGCTATAATAAAGGGCCATGTTGTCACCGTGTGGAGTATTAAGCACTTTCTGCATGTCAAAGCTGGCACAGATAACACTTTTGTCTGCCTTGTTAAGATCCTGATGACATAAAAATCGTTTGTATGATTCTTCTTTCTCTTTTATGTGCTCGTCTAACTTGTTCATTTCCTCTTCAGTTTTTACCTCGAAGGTTTTTGTGGCCATACACTGAACACATTTATCCTTTTTTGGGACATGGAAGCCAATATTGAAAGTACTACGAAACCATTTGGAAAAAACTTTAAAAACATAAGTTTTACATTTTCATCGTTGCAGTGCTCTTTGTAAATGTTGTACAAGTTAGTAATATTTTTAAAATTTTCTGGCAGGTACAGTCGTGTGGAATCTTTGCGACAATAATGAGAAGGCATTAATGGCAGAGACATAACAAAAGACTTGGCTTTGGCGATGACATCCGTTGATGTTTTATTATGACCACCGTTTTTCCCTCTTTCGTCAAGTTTGGAAAAAATTATCTATTGAATTTTGCAGTGTATACAAAATAAATCTCTGCGTCACATCGAGAGTCGCGATCAGAAATTGTTGGCAGACCTTTTCTCCTTCCTTCTCCTTCATTAATAAAAATATTCATGTGTGATGTTTCGCCTAGATACTCCACTATTTTGTGACGTGTGGTTCTTTACACTTTTTTTATGACAGCATTGAGCAATCCAATCTTTGCGCCTTTGCGTACACTTAAGATTCCAAAAATAGTTAAATAAATTTGTACGCCGTTCTTCGGTTATGTTTTCACAGTTATTTCTACATTTTTTTGCCAGTACATGGGTTTGGTTTCATATTTTTTTCCTCAATAGGTCTTCCTTTTCTAGTTAAATATTGTTTCCCTTTTTCTTTTCTTTCTTTATTTTCTTTTTTAATCATTGCTTTTGTTTTATTTTTTTCTATATTTAAGTGCCTATGATTAGTCTTTTGTTTTTTATTTTTGTCTTTTATGTTTGCCTTGCTTGTTCTTATTTCTTTTTGCAGTTTTAGTGTGTTGATCTCCATCTTCCATCTCGTCAGATGACTCTTCCACTTCAGTCCAATCTGTTGAGTCATCTGATGGAAAAGCTTCATTTAACAATAATGTATCCGCATCGTCCACATAATCAAGATAACATTTATTGAAATTTAGTTTTTTCTTGCATCTTTCAGGATTTGTCCTTCTGGTTCCTCTGTCCTCTATTATCTGTATTTTGTTTGTTTCAGGGGATGGTAAACTACTTCGAAACTGTATCTGCACCACGTCGCTGTCACTCGTTCTAGGGAATATTGATAGACTTGGAGATCCTATTGGCACTGTATTGCTCTCAATTGCAGAACTGTTTTCAGAAATAAATTGTATCTGCACAACGCCATTTGTAGCAGTTCTTGTGCCAGGAACCAGTACGTCGCCCTCAGTCGCAAAACTCGTTGAAGGTACTAGAGATGGACCCCGAAACAGTAGCACGTTACTTTGAGTAGCAGCACTTGTATCAAGAACTGGAGATGGACATTGAAGTTGCGTTTGCACGTGGCTCTCTATTGCTGCACATGCTCTAAGACCGGAGGGTTGACTTTCAGGGTCCATCAATTTTACGTTGCTTTCGATCATAGCTCTCTTCTCAGTAGCTGGTGATTTACTTTGAGGCTGTTCCATATTGCTCTCAACACCACCACCTAATTCTGGGATAGAATAGAGACATTGGGTTTGATTTGCTTACCATCATTCTCAACTGGAAAGTAGGCTTTACAAGCTGTTACTTGTGGAATACTTTTTATCTAAAAACATCTTCATTCTCAATGGTTACAGTAAAATCTAATTTAGCATGTTTTGTAATACATGTTTCGTGGGTGATTTCGCAATCTTTATGAAAGTCTGTTGGGATTTCCGTCAAGCCCGAAGCTTGAAGCGGTGGCGGTAAAATTTGTCTTAGTATGTGGTCGGTTGCAGTCATGTACTTTTCTGGGCTTTCGAAAAAGTTGGAGTCAATTCTTTGCTACTAGGCCTGTCCTCTTCCAAATTCCTTGTATGTCGTGGTGTCGTTTTGTCATTATTTTGCGAAAAATTATTAGATTCATCGGTCTGTGATTTTATTTTTGTGTTGTTCAATATTGAAGGAATAAAATTGCCTTGTAGGTATAGTTGGTTGCTTAATTTTGTATTTTAGGTTTCTTTCTTGAATGCTCTTCAACAATGTCTTCTTGAAGAGGTCTTAATTCGTCCATCCATTCCCTGTTTCGCCATCTAAAATAAGCAAGGCAGTTTATTAAAAATAAAAAGAATATCTTGTTACCCTCGTTGGCCTAGTGATTGTAATTGCTGATAGGATTGTCATGAGGTTTCGGGTTCGATTCACGGCTATGGCAAGGTGTAATATGTGGTTTTACTGTTGTGAAACTTCCTCAATTGCAGCTCGTAACCGGGTTTGTGCTCGTAGTATATTGGTTGGTTCGCCACCAGTCACATTGGAGATTTAATTCGTGCCTACTCCGTCAGGGATTACAGGTGTGACGATATTCATAAAAAACAAGTAAATTGATCATTTTTATACTTTGAAACTAACTAGAAAAAATGCTAAACCTAAATGGCAGATTACAAAATCTTTGCTTGTATTAGATAGTTTCGATAATAACAATACGTAAATACTATCGACCATGTCTTCGGAAAATTTACTTACTTTACGTGATAAAATACTCAGGTTCAATCTAAACCACACAATTTATTTCGGACACTCACGACGTTTCAAATCAAATGCCCTGCTTATAATGAGGCAATAATAGAATGTCGTACAAGGAATGAAGGGTGCGGGCGGAGCCGGTAGCGATGCGGTAACACCGACACAACTTCAAAGAACTCATTTTCAATAGCGTAACGGTAAAATGAAATAATAAATGATTTATCAAAATGCATTATCTCAAATTTCTAAAAAATCACAGGTTTTTAAAATGCATTATGCGGTGTGAGCTTTTAAAGCAAATACGTGTTGATGCTGTAAATAGCAAAAACAAAACTGTAGGTTCCCTTAACTTGCTGTAAGTAAACGAATGTAAAAATCACCGCCGCAGAATTGCTGTAAGTACGTTAAGTTTTAAATGGGAAGAAGTAAGTTTTGTGAAGCAAAAAATGCAGTCTTTCTTTTGCTGTAAGTACAAAATACTAAAATGACTAGATTTTAGTCTTTAATCTGCTAAAAAAATAAAAGTACGGGCGTTTTTTTAAATTTTTTTCATCGTAGAGACACAGACCGGGTCTCGTCGGTTTTCTGATTCTAATGGCAGTAAAAAGTCACTTTAGGTTTTTTCTATACATTGCTTCCTACGTCGATATGCATTATGCATACTCATCAAACATACGTTTTGAAAATTTCAGTAAACGCATATCTTTTTTCCATAGCACCTGTATTTGACATGACAAACAATTATTGGAATAAGCTGTTGAGTTATCCTACTAATATTATAAACGCGAAAGTTTGTAAGTATGGATGGATGTTTGTTACTCTTTCACGTAAAACTACTGAATGGATTTTAACTTTACAATAAGCTTATATATCAGAATAACACATAGGCTACAATTTATAAAGATATTGTGTGAATTGTCCAAAATATCAAGTAAGTAGGAAAAAATCTACCATCTGCGAGCTATTCTGGCGTGCGCTGCGAAAACCGCTAGAGTTACACATATGTAATGTATGATGGTAATGTTCATCTTAAATAGTCAATATCTTTATAATGTCAATATATGTGTGTATACTTATGTAAACGCGTTAGAAGTTATACTTCTTTGGCGTAACGAGATAAAAGTGTTGACGATGCTAACCTCAGGGTGTCGGTGTTTTGTGACGGTGTGCGCGCGCATGGTAAAAATTTACTCTCATAATTTTTCCCTAACGCGCCAAAAGAAGTATAACTTCAAAATAGTGTACCGGTCATTTAAAATATTCTAGTATGGTACTTAAGTTGATGTGAGATTTTATTGGCTTGTTATACTATCGTACTTTACTGGAAATAGTTTTTATAGTTTATAAACTGACGACCACTTATGTAAAATTATCGTTAGAAAATATGTTAGAACTATGTTTATTTATTTAGGCCATGAATCACATAGTAAACTCTAATGGTTTTGGTCTAGGGTTTTGCAAGGTCCGTTATGTTATCTCTTGTTATGATTATCTATTTTACGAACCAAATCCCAATAATATATTTATGGAAACTCATTTATGGGTTTTTTGTATATCAATGTGGAAACTATACACATATGAACGTGAATATTAATAAAACAGCTAAAGTACAAGTTGCCAAATCTAGGGCGTAGAGCGGTTAAGAACTGGCATGAAACTTTTTAATCGCCGACTTTTCGGTTTAAAAGAAAATGTTATGTAAAGAACTGTAATCACCATGCTTCTATTGGCATGTTAAAACAAAGATACTAAAGCCTTTAGAGGCACGGAACTCCTGTAAGATACAGGAGATCCAAAACCGTCTTTTTTATGTAATATGAGGCAAAAGGGCAGGCTCACCTGATGTTAAGTGATACCGCCCCCCATAGATGCATACATTGCAAGAAGGCTCGCAAGTGCGTTGCCGGCCTTTAGCGTAAGTTCTTGAATTGCACAAAATATTACCTTAAGACGCTTTCCTTCATCGTACAAGTACACAAATAAAATAAAAAAGGGTGCGTGTACTTATGTACGCGCGTAAGAAGTTATATTTCTTTGGCTTTCTTTATTTTTTTTAAATATAATTAATATTTAACGTAAACAATTTAATAATATTTAGTATATTATTCAATGATTAATTAATATTAATAACAATTATTATTTATTATTTTATTATATTATTCATTCAATTTAATAACTTGGTATGTTTCATAACCTTTTAACTAAGTAACAATAGGTCTTTGTGAAAAAACATTGCTAAATTTCTTTGAAAAAATAATTAAAACTCCTTTATTTGTTTAAAAGGTAAATGTCATTATGGTCATTCAAAATTCTTGGCATAGCTGCTAACTTCACGCATATTATATTTCTTTTTACTTGTAGATTGTCTTATTCCCATCTCGCTCGCGCACGCTATAATCACACTGACAACTTTGTGTCTCAGGTGCGCGCGCATCGTAAAATTCCACTCTCATAAATTTTTCATAACGCGCCTAAAGAAGTATAACTTCAAAAATAATAAGTTTTAATTAGACATACGTCTTAAGTTGACACTGCATTAATAAAGTATTTATTACCTGTACTACAAATTTTAATTAGAGTATGGAAATAAATTTTCTAGGAAATAAAAGATAATTATATAAGCTGAATACTATTATAGGAAGCAAAAAGATTCCCATTGTAAGTTTAATATAGGTGTGAGTTACACTCTGACACTTATTGATGAAATTTTCCCACAGATGTTTCCGTAATTGTGGACTTCTTGAATGTTATAACATCTTTGACACAATTTAAATTTCACTATAAATTGTTTTTTTACATTTAAATTAGAGTATTACGTTATTAATGATATAACGTATTAATGTTAGAATTATTAATGAATATTCTTACAAGACGTAACAACGACATGGCTCAATCGATTAAGTTCAAATAATTTCCGGCAAAAATATAATTGTTTCAAAGGTACAAAATACCGGTTAGTATAGAAAATATCTGGTAGGTCTTTTGTGTGCCCCAAGGATGCGGCTTCGCGTTGCATTGCGTTCATTATGTTATATTTAAACAAAACTTCTTGGACGGATGTAGGCATTTTATCCAGGATTATATTTTAAACGTGTTTTTAAAATTAAAAAAAAAATAATTGTCTGACGTCTAGTCACGGGTTTGATACTTACTTACTTACTCCGCTGGTTCTGCGACCCAAAAAATGTCTTAGCCTCTGAAACGAAAAACTTCCAGCGCTCCCTGTCCAGTGCCACCTTCCGCCAATTGCTGGCTTTCAGCTGCAGCAGGTCCTCTGCACTCTGTCGATCCAGCGTTACTTTGGCTGATCTACTGGCTTCCGACCACTAGGCTGGTTTAGATAACCTTGCTTCACCTCCCGATCTTAGCCCCACGTGTGCCCCAGCCAACGTAGTCGATGTGTCTATAAAGTTGAGCTAACAACTCTAGAAGAAAGTTATCGTTTCGAATTTCCAGGATATTTGAGTAATAGTTTCTATGCACCATATAAAGGAAGGCAGGTTGTATAGGGCAAAGAGTGGCACAGTGTAGACAGGAATGGTTTATGGCACACAGATCAGACCGACCACCAGACGACAGACCTAAAAAGAATGAGATAGAAATAGAAATTTGTTTAAGTGTAAAAGTATCTGAAATAAAAGGCTATTATTATTACTACACACGCTGTAGTTATTGTAATAGGTACGACGTGTTTATGTTTATAATAACTTTGTAAATCATTAGTGGTGTCTAGGTCTCATTTCAATAATTGAAGTCTGAACTAAATAGAATACTTTCCACTATTCCGCAAAGCCACAGATCTTATTATTTCAAATAGTTCTCAAAACTGTGAGTGTTTTCAGAACGAGTTTTGAGTCTTATAAAACTATGTTTAAACTCATTATATTTGTCGGACTAAGGGTCTGTTTCACAATGTAAATAGCTATGCAACACATAAATTATTTGGAAGATAAATTGTGCTATTTGACATTCATCGGAC